CCCCCCCCCCCCTCTGACAGGAATTAGTTATCCCAATTCTTTAACTGTTACGGCTCAACACAACCTGGCCAAGTTGTAGTCCTGGCTGTATTTCCTCTCATGGGCGTGGCGTGGTGCGGCAGAGAGCAGAGTGGCTCAGACCTCAGCCTAACCCGCACGGCACACCCTTATCGTGTACCGTATAACAATTGACCATCCTAGTTTTTTTTTTTGTTTTTTGTAAAGAAAGCTTCAAGCCTTCAACAGTTCAAGTTAATGACGTGGGTCCCAAGTTTAACATAGATAAGGGCAATTGAGATCTGAGACTTTTGAGGTTATATTTGCTGATTGTTTCATCTGTTCCTTCCTGGTTTAGTTATAAAAAGATTTCCCTAGGCTAGTGATTATAATCCGTTAAAGAAGTGTTGGAAAGACAGATTGTCTTCTCTATTTTTTAAACAAATCAACAGTCTTTATGTCTTCACATGTACTTGTGTTCCCATACTGTAAGACCCGTATAAAACACGATAATAGAAAGGAAGAAAGGCGGCGAGGTTCAGCTCCTCTTGATTTCCCCAAGAGGTGCCGTCGGAGCTGTTGATGGGCGATGACAAATTATCGATTGTAATGGCGAGCAGAGACAGAGAGAGATCTCGAGAGCCTCTCATACCAGTCGCTGGAGCTCCCGACGATGACGTTTCCTCAAAACCTTCTTCCTCATCTGCTCCATCGTCTCATCATTCCGGTCGAGAGGTCAGCTCTCTATCTCCCCCTCCCTCTTTTTCTGGTGCAGTTACTCCCTTTGTTATTGGGTTTCTTTTACTGGTTTAGCGGTGACCCATGCCAATGTTTTTCTTTCATTTTCTTTATATTTGTTTTTTTTTTTCTTTGTGAGGGTCAAATTACTCGATTTTGGGGAAACCCATCTGCATCTTTTTTGTTTATATCTTGTTTTTATGTGGCGTTTTTTTTTTTTTCCTTCATTAGGTTTTAGTAGAAACATCTATTTTAGTTCCAGAGTTACATCAATAATTTCTTTTAATTCAACCACAATTAAATTTCTGGTCATCTTCTAAAGTGTTTTGCGGTTGCTTTCAGTATTCAAGTCAGTACTGTTTGGTGTAGTGAGCTTTTCTGGAATTCGTTTCTCTCGGTTGTGTTTTTTGTGATCTGCTGTTATTCTTTGTCTTTGTTTTGCTTTCAGAATTTTGTTCACATCTTGTTCTTTTCTCCATACTGCCTTTAATGGGCATTCACAAAGGACTGAGTTAATTCAGTTCACTTGACGATATCTCCGTAGAACCATATTTCCTCCCTCTTTAACTTAGTTCACTTAAAAAAGTTAATTCGGTTCACTTGACGGAATTTCAGCAGAACCATATTTTCTCCCTCGTTAACTCCGTTCACTTAATAGTTTTTTTTTTTTCTTTCCCTTTTTCTTTTTTGAAGCCTACGCTTGATAGTTTAGCTTTGATGGCTAGATGTTTGTTGATTTTTAATTCTTCTTCATAGCATAAGAGTTGGAAGGCCTCATATATTATGAAAATTTCTATCAATGAAATGCTTTCTATGTTTTTACCGATAAAAAGAAAATGAAAACGAACACTTCTCTTTTGTCCCTGGTAAACTTGTTTCTGTGGGTGTAAGAACACCCGTTACCTTCTTCATCTTCACTGTTTTGTGAAAACCTTAATAACTGCAAATTTCAGTTCTGGTTGTAGTCTTTCTCCAGTACATGTTTTGATACCAATCAACTACTACAGAATCAATTTTTCCATATCATATTTTTTTTATTCACTCTGATGGGCTTATTTACAAATTATATCCTTTTGTTGTTTCTTTTTTGCATTATTCTCCAGAAATATCAGAAATGTTGTATTTTCCATTCACTGATCCAAACTGTATTTCCATAATTCTTATAGTGGATGCTCTTCTGCTCACTGGTAGAACACCAAATATTATTATTTTCACATTTACATGCTACTGACTTGAACTATTCATGCTTATTATTGTAGCTATACAAATTCTGTGTAAACTTCATGGAAGAAAGAGGTATTAAGTTAAATTGCATACTGTCATTGCCCTGCAGGCTTTTTACAAAGTTGTTCGAAGTTGGGCTTCGAAAAAGTTCATGACTGGATGGTAAGGATATACATATTATAATTGAATCCTTGTGATAGGCACTCCTTTTTTTGTAGTTGTTCCTATATGTTGGATATCAGAGTGTGCATTATTTATTTTTGTTAAATTCCTAATTGCTTATTATCTTGATTTTAGAATTCAAGGTTTTTGTGGTCAAATATTTATAGCTATTATATAGTTTTGCACTGGAAACTTATGTACAGGTTTTCATGTATTGTACAATCACAAAATCCGATGGGCATAGTGAAAATGAACATATCCTTCATCATTACTTGCATTTGGGGGATAATTCCCAAATTATTTGATGATCATGGATTCATGGTTATACTAAAAGGACGTGATAAAACTAACATGCCTGATAAGTGTTCTATAGATACAAGAGTTAGGAGTAGCTAACTTTATCAAGTGGAAGGTATTATATACATGATTGTATTTCACTTAAAAGATTCAGTTAATTGTATTTAATAATCCAAATGGAATTAAGTGGCATGGCCACCAAAGTTCTATATTATCCTAAAATTTCAAGAAATAGCAGTTCCCCTCTTCCTCCCCCCATGGGTCAATAGATTCATGGATTCTGTTTGAGGATGCCAAATATATTGATCTAACTGTTCGTTTGGAGGGCACCCTTCATCATGAGCATTGTCATTGTCTTCTTTTCTTCTTCTTCTTCTGAAGAAGATGAAACTCCACTTACTCATCCTTTTCCTTTTGGTATATAAGCATTACTTAAGTTGATTTATGCTAAATCATGTGGGGGAATTGGGATGTCATGGAAAATGGGAGCTGTAAGTCTGTATGAATATATAGAGTCATAATCATACATTATGGGCCATGTAATCAAGGTAGGGGTGCAAGTTGGGTGGTCTGGACCAGGTTTAAGCTCAATCCAGGCCCAACCCTATGAATTAGGCTTAAGGCCTAAGCCTGAGGTCAAGCCTGATTATCCAACCTGAGCCCAGCCCACACTAAAATTTGATGCACTCAGGTTGGGCTCAGACCCGGGCTGGGAGTGGGTTAGTCAATCAGCCTATGCTAAAATTTAACATAAATGTATGTGTTTATGCATACATGCATGTATGTATCGGATTTCATTCCCAAGGGAGGGGGAGGGAATGACCATTCCCTCAAATGGGGAAATGCCATTCCACCAGGAATGGGAATGGTTTTCCTATTCCACCCAACCAAACAGTTGGAGTTGGAATGGCCCATTCCGTTCCGATCCCAGACCCCTTATTCCCACGAACCAAAAGGGCCCTAGTCTCTTCCGGGAATTTAGCAGTTCCCATCCCTTGGACTGCATAAAATCTACATTAGTAACAGAAAAATGCTGAATTCTATTTATTTATCTAGAATCTACAAGGTTCTTTTTATAAACACGCGTAGCAACTAGTGTAAATTAATGAACCTTGTGATGATTTTGGCAGGTGTATAGGGCCTATAGGCTTTTATTTCTCTAAATCTTATAAAGCCATCATTGAATATGTGGTTGCATGAGGAGAACCTTATTATTTTCACACTTTATTGATTTTATTAACATTACTTGTCATGCTCTGTATTTTTTGGTAAGAATTTTCTGTAATCAAAGGTGTTGGTTGTTGTTTTTTACTCTGCAGTGTCATTCTACTTCCGATAACAATTACATTCTATATCACATGGTGGTTTATACATTTTGTGGATGGATTTTTCTCTCCAATCTATGCCCAACTTGGAATCAACATCTTTGGTATGTGATCATTTTCCTGCTTTACCTCTATATTTTGTTTATTTTGGTGAATGCAAGGGGCTGGGTGTTTTTTGTAGTTTTCGTTTCTTGGGTTGAGAAATTTCCTACTTTACATGCGAGTTACATCAATGTTTTGATAATTTAGAACAGGTGGAGATCTCTAACTATGGATCATCTGCATACCATAGTTTGAACTTTAATCTTGAAGTTAGAAATCTATTTCATTGCAGATGATGTGTAGCTTCTTCACAACCATATATTCTATATTTATTATGGTTGTACCTTTTCTTTTCACTACTGATTTATGATGGATGTACTTATATCCATGACTATCTAGCACAAAAATTCTGTAAATTATTGAATGTCCTAGTTATAGAGGTTTATTTTTCTTGAATTTTTTGGCTGTCCCTGATCCCCTTTCTGGTAATAATATCCTGTCTTTCTTGGGTAATTATACTCACTTGTCCCTCACAATTAGGTCTTGGGTTTGTGACTTCAATAACTTTCATTTTCCTGGTCGGCGTTTTCATGTCATCGTGGCTGGGAGCATCTGTTCTAAGCCTTGGAGAGTGGTTTATCAAAAGGATGCCATTTATTCGTCATATCTACAATGCTTCCAAACAGATTAGCACTGCCATATCACCAGGTAATCCCAGTAATTCTGTTTCATTTGTTTTCCAAATGAATCTGGGTAGGCATTGCATAAGTCCTCTTTATATATTAATACAGATCAGAACACACAAGCCTTCAAGGAAGTGGCCATCATAAGGCATCCACGTGTTGGAGAATATGCTTTTGGGTTCATCACTTCTACTGTCACCCTTCAGGTCTTAATTTATTTTTTCTGCAGTTGTGTTGAATATGTGCTCTTCTAAATCATGGTGTTTAAGTTTTTTTTTTTGGTCATATTAAATGAATTTTACAAATAATTGCACCCCTACTGAATATCATCCTAGATTGGTCGTTTTAATAATTTTCCTGCAAGGTTATAAACTTGTGATATTGTAGAAGAATATCAAGTGAAACATCTTCTATCTTCCATTCTTTTTTATCTTCTAGTGACAAGCATAATTTGACCTTGTCAAGTAGGACATTGCATGTTCACAACTTTTCTCATGCTCCTTCTTGACATTTGATTATACTGTTGTTTTTCAATTCAAATCTAAGGTTATCAATTTGATATTGTGGCAAACTTTGGTCCAACAGAATTAGAAATTTCATAGGAGAAAATTAGTACTATTTAAGGAATCATAAGAGAAACATAGAGTTTTTAGCTTACAACTTTAGGAGTCATTAGAAGACATGATTAGCTTACTGGAAAAAAAAAACCATGTGTAAAAGAATATGATAAATTCATGGAGGGGGAAAATGTTGCATGTGTAAGTGTGGGTATTCAAAACTACATCTATTAATGAGTTCTAGTTGTCAGACTTCTACGGTCATACAAAGTTACAAACATGACATCCAACTGATAAGTTGGATCATGGCGCTTGTTGGGGTGAGGAGATTGTCGTCCAAGAGAAGAGTTCTTGTTCCAAGCTATAGAACTGGTCCCCTTGAATCTTGAGGAGGTCTCTCTCACATTAGTTGGAAGGATATGAGCAGATGATCAGAGATATTTGCTTTGCTATTATCACAGTGTTACACTTGTTGGCTGTGTTCTTGATAATTTTTGTGCACTAATCTTGGATTTTTGTGTGGAGGCCTGCTTGTATTTAATATTGGAAGTTATTGCAATTTCTATTTTGGGACTAACATTGTCAAATTTCAAATGTTTGATTCATTCATATAGAATTATTCTGGGGAAGAGGAATTATACTGTGTGTACGTTCCTACAAACCATCTTTACATTGGTGATATATTCCTCATCAACTCCAAAGATGTCATTAGACCCAACTTGTCAGTGCGTGAAGGAATTGGTAAGTACTGTGTGTCACATTGCTACTTTATTAGCATGTGTCTATGGACAATAGGAAGATGATCGATATAAAGTCTTCTACCTGTTTCTGCTATTGTCATGTTTTATGTATAGGAAGTCCAGTGTATGGATTAACTCATCCCACAGAGTAGTACTATGCCTTTCTGAACTATCTTTTTTTTTTTTGATTGTTACACCTTTGGAATCAATTCTAACTCCTTATCACTTAACTCATGTTTGGTGATAAATGGAAGCTCTAAACCGTTTGTTATCTGTAGTAGACAACTTTATTTCATTAAAGAAAAAGGTCCACGTAGTACAACAGTTCCAACTGGTTGACTTACTGTTTGACTTGAGGGCCTTTATCACTGAGCATTTGTTATACTGAAGAATGTAAGAATGTGGGAGATAAATAGATGGTCTTTTGGAGTTAGCTACATCTAGCCCCTTCAACTTGTAACAAAACAGAATGGCAATGTTACCCATTTATATCGCACTGTCAAAGGATTACTACTGGTTCATTATTTTGTGTTTCTGTTCCATTACTATTTTTTGTATGTTTTCTGTCTTATCACTCCATCATCTTTGGCTGGGAATTTGACTTGTACTGAATGTGCCATGATTGCAGAGATTGTTGTCTCTGGGGGCATGTCAATGCCTCAGATCCTGTCAACAGTGGACTCCCAGATGATCCAGGTGGACAGAAGATCTGGTAGAAGCTGAGGACAAAGAGCCGATATGACAGAGATCCATGAATGATGTATTCCGGTTTGAGATGTGCTATCAGACTGACCATTTATCAACTTCTCTGGAGTTTCAGGTGGATCCAATGTGGATGTTTGTTTACCGGCTGTAATTGAATTCTGATAGCATGTGTAACATTCCTTTTACTGGGGTTTCAAAGCAAACCCCATGTACATTATAGATGAAGTGACATAGAAGATGGAGGTTGATAATACAAGCTGTGGATCATCTGGCTTTAGACCCTTACATTTTTCCTAGAAGAAGAGCTCCTTTAGAGCTCCAATCAATTCAACCACCTTCAGCTTCAAATTTCAGACTACTCTGTGCCATGGATGGTTTTGACTGCATCTTTTTCTTAAATCTCCATTTCTTCTGTCAATTGGGAAAAGAAAATGAAACGACCTTGTATGTACTTGCACATCTGCTAGAAATCATTTGATCTCACTCAGAATCCACCTAACACCTATACACGATCTTTTGGTATAAAAAAGTGAACAGAATTTCAAGAATCCCATTTTGACAATCTGTCAGGTGGAACTCACTTGAAATTATGTGATGTAACGCAAAACTACCAAACAGTTATCAAATGTATAATGCTATGAGTCTATGACAAACTTGAATCCTAAGCCACAAGTACTAAAGGTGTGCTGTGGCAGTATGATACTGAGATGTGGAGGACTTTTTTCATTGGAATGTGTTTCTTGATAGCATGCTATGTTAAAATGAGAAGCAGCGATTCCTGTAAATGGTTCTCAAAGTTTTTTGTTTCAGAGAGGGTCTCGGCCTTCGTAATCAGAATCCAAGAACATAGAACCTGGTCAGACACACAGACTACAAATTTTGGCATGGAGTTTGGGTCTTCCTTTACAATGTCTCCTACTACACCTGTCTGTGTGGGCGCTTCACTGTAGAGAGCTCTGAGTCTGGAGAGAGGAAGACCCATATGGCCTTCTTCGTGGCTTTGTTGGTCCTGAGGATGGAGTCCTACGCTTGGGCTTGAATGTCCTTTTGCTGGTTCACAGACTTGATTTTTAATGCCCTAAACAATGCTGCCAGGAATATGTTGATCAACAATGCTGCCAGGAATGTGTTGATCAACTTTGTTTTTTGCTAGCTCATCTCATCAACAAGTCATCATCTGATCCGACCTTGCCTATCCATTGCATCTCTGCCTGATTCCAAGATTATTTCCATTCAATGCTATAAATATGTAAAGAGAAAACTCAATCTAATGTTGGAAACCAAGGGGATGATTGGAACCGTGGCCATTTTAAAAAAAAATGGTTATACGTCAGATCCACATAGGCGTTTCAACAAATGCCCATGTATCTCATTGTTTGGTTCAGCCGATTATTAAAAAATCGGGCATGACTCGAAAATTGGGACCCCACCAATGCATGAAACGCCAAATCGGTGAATTGTTGCACCCAACGGTTGACTGATGTGTATCCTATGCGGTGCCTACCTGTCAGCACATACATGAAAAACGGTGATGAAAATCCCCTTACCAAACAGCATAGTGTTGTTCACTACCTACGTGGCAGAAGCATTTTTTTTGTGAAAAACGGGTCTTGGAAGCATGGGCATTTTTTCTTAAAAATCAGTGCCAAAAAGCACCTACACTTCCAAACACCATCTGAACCAGATTTAAAAAAAAAAAGTACCGATACAGGCCATCCTACCGGTGTATCGCCATTGGGAGCACCCACTTACCACTTATGAGATGTTTCTTGAAAAATCAGGTTGCTAAGTGTCTGAAGGAAAAATTCTCTAATATCACCACATTCCTTTAATATATTATATATGTGTCTCTCCTGTTTATTATCTGACCCGAATGGATCTATGCAAAACTACATAAAAACTGAATTGTTCCCTTATTTGTGTGTGTACCTTTTTTCAATGCAGTAGCAGGAAATCTTTCTTTGTTTTGATAAGTAACCGAATTGTAATAGATTAGATTATATAAAAAAAGAACCAAACCCCAAAACAAAATCCTGTTTTAGATTATACAAGTAACACGAAACTTTGTAAATTGTAATCATGTGAATTAAAAGTTAAAACAATAAGGGTCGTTTTGGTTCTTGGGAATAGAGATCTGGTGTTTCAGAGTGATCCATTTTGATTCCAACCGATTGGTTTCCAGCCGGAGAAGCACTCGGTCCTTGATCGTTTTTCAAGAAGTGGGGGAGTAGAGTAAATTGGTGGGTTTCATGGAAAAGAAATAAACCTATATTGGTATTTTAGTATTAGTGGGTCTTGCGGAAAAAAAAAAAATTTTGATTAAAGAGTAATTTATTTATCTGCGCGAGTATTGGATAAATTATTTATTCACTAATGTTAAAAATTGTTAATACACGATGAGATAAAACAGTTATTCCAAAATTTTATGATTTTATCTAAGGAATAAAAGAATACTGATAAGTATATTTATCGAATAAATGTTTTCCAAAAAATACTTGTGTGAATAAATGCATTTAATTATGTAAATGACTTAACAAGATGTGAATGAGGACTTAGTTATACCAATTGAATTAAGCATTTAACCCATCTAACAAACGGAAACATTTTTTTTTTTTTGTTAAATAGAAAACAAAGCAAAAGTAACAAAGAGAATATAATATTCGTTTGGCAAAAAGGACAAATAATAACCAAAAATAAATAAATAAATAGTTAAAATACCCCTATTTACATAATTATTTAAAATGCCCCTATAGTTTTCGACAATGGACAAAATCTTCCCCTATGTTAGCACATCGTTAAAATGCGGATGTCACAACTTATATAATTTTTTAAATTCCAAAATTACTTTTTTTGTGGTCGACTTTATCCTTCATTGTTTTTTAAATTTTCAAAATAAAACCAAGGGAGAATAAGTGAATTCCTAAACGTTCCTCACGGAAGATCGAGTCAGATCGATTGGGGAAAAGAAATCGAGCTGATGATTATCACCACTACCACTGTCACCATGAGGACGGCTCCAACGGCAGTTACAACTAGCAGTAGGGGCGAATAGGAAACAGAAAGGCAATGCCTTCTCCCATATCAGAGGCAAGGAAAAGAGAGAAGACTTGGTGCCTACAGCCTAGGGAGGGAACCGTTTTTTCTGTTGATATATGAAGCTTCAGCCTTAGCAATGGTGTCAATCAAGTGGACCTTTGGGTTAGGGGCTCTGCGATACCAAGGTTCAGGGTGCGAATTTCCTCATTCAAGGATTCTCCTCTGCCATGTCTGTCAATCTCCGACGCCATGGAAAGCCTCAGGAACCAAGCTTGGGCCTACGACGACGATGATGTTATGGCAACAATAATAATGATGACGACGGAGAGAACCAGGTGGTTCTTTAGTTTAGTCATATACCCCCCCTCCTCCTCCCGTTGCTGGAATTTGCAGTGGTCATCGGAGATTTCATTGGGATTTGCAACGGTCCGTTTGTGTGTGTGCGTATTTTTTTATATCTTTTCTGTGAACGAAAGAATTGTATCAGTCAATCCACCCAGACCAGGTTCTGTTTCAGATTCCCAAATTACAAAAGGACAATTCATAACATCCCTTACGGTTCTGTAGACTAGACCTGTTCAAGACCGGGTGGCCCATCCCCATCCCGGCCGCAGCCAGTTTTTTATCGGGCTTGGTCTAAGACTCTACCAGGTTCGAGGTTGGACTTTGGGATTTTTAGTTCCGATCCAAGCCCGCCCCAATGATATTATTATATATTAATGATATATCTCCACCATAAATAAGACTTTTTCTGTCCAGATCGGATTTCAGATTTTAAATAAGAACATTTTGTATCAATAAAGAGGGGGACGTAAATAGACATCTATTCAAGACTCTACAGCGGAGTTGAGTTGATTGAAATTCGTCACTCGACTCACTGGGTCATAGATTCACTCGTTCTTTATTACATTACAGCTAGGGGTGAGTATTTGGTTTATTAGGTTAAAAACTGAATTCAATAAATCGAAAATTTTAAAACTGAAATAATAAAATAAAAACTGAAATCGAAATAACCGAACCAAAATTTTTGGTTCAGTTTTTAGTTATTTCAGTTAAAAACCGAATTTAGTTATTATATATTATAACCTATAAAATATATATATATATTATATATAATATAGATTATATATTATATATTACATAATGAATTTTAGCTAATTCGGTTTTTTCGGTTAACCAAATTTCTAAATTTGAAAACTGAAACCGAAATTGTTAAAAACCAAATTACCCCAAAAAAAAAAAACCGAACTAAAAAAATCGAAACTGAAATTTTTGGTTTGATAATTCGGTTTTAATCGAATAATGTTCACCCCTAATTACAACTGAGCTAATTTAATCTCAATTATGGAGATTAATTTAAAATTAATACAAGGGTGATGGACAAAAATCTCTCCAAAAGTTTCTAACAATCATAAATATTTTCTTTATACTTTTACTTTAGTAAAAACCTCTCTTGAATTTTTAAAGAACTTGACAAAAACCTCCCTTTGTCAATGACCCAAATAGAAAACATCATATCGATGCATCAATTTTATACTTAAATACCCATTTTATCCTTTTATAAATTATTAATTTGCATTCATTTATGCTGAAATATCCTTGTCGACCTGCTATTCTCTTTTCCTCTCCGACAACCTCTTTTTTCCTCTTTCCCATCCTTGGAATTCCATCAGAGGAGGAAGGCAGCAGCTCTTTCAATCTTTCAATCCAAATCAAAATGAAACATAGCTCTTTCAGTTTTCTCCCTGCCAATAGGAGGCTCTCGGGCTATAGAGAAGGGACGTCGGTAGACCGCACAAGAACTTCGGTCAGGTCACCGACGGCCTGCGGAAGAAGCTTAAGGATTTGATATGGACTTCCAGGAGCTGAGGCAGCAGATGATGGCAGATTATAAGGAGATGGTGAGCTGCCAATATTTCACTGTAACAAGGGAATAACCGGAGGAAGAGGTGATAGAGAAGATTATATCGAGTGGGGGAGGAACGAGAGGGGAGGAGCTGCTGCAAAGGGCGGCGAGTATGTGAAGGACGGGATGTGCGACCTCAGAACTGCTAAGAACTATCAGAAGAGCAGTAGGAAGTGGATGTGTGTGGGGTTGATTCTAGTCCTGATTCTCATCGTATTTTGGTGGTCATTCCCATCGCCACCGGTTTCAGTCATTCCTAATATGCTAAAATCTTTATTTTAAGGCTGTTGTTTCTTTTGATTTATTGACTTGTATTTCTTTTTCAGGTGGGGAATGGGGGAGGAAGGCTCTAGTAAAGAACAGTTGCCGGAAAAATAGAAGGAATATTCTGAAAAAATGGGAATAGCGCCGCTGCAACCGTAAAGGTTTACATTCTTTTGATATATATTTTTTTTTTGCTCCGAGCCTCTGACAAAAAACAACAAATGTGAATAAGATGCACGATTGAGGGCAAATAAAGTATTTTACAAATTCATCGAATGACGTTTCAAAGGTAATTTCATAAATATAGACGTTTTCCGTCTGGGTCATTGACGGAAGGGAGGTTCTGTCGAGTTCTTTAAAAATAGAAGGGAGCTTTTTGCTAGAATGAAACTACATGGGAGCTTTTTATGATTGTCAGAACGTGTAGAGGAGTTTTTTGTATTTTACCCGCATAACAGCAAATTAGTATCAGCTGCCGACACTTGTTCCCGATATCTCCTGCTTCCAGTCAGTGGCCTCATCCTGTCATCCACCTCCACCTCTTTCTTTCTGTTCCCATGCACAGTAGGGAAAGAGAAAGCGAAGGAGAGAGAGAGAGACAGAGAGGGAGCTTCAGATTTGGATGATATCTACATATTCCGGCACATGGCGGACTTAATTGGACTTTCGAATTGCCGTTTCTGGTGAAGATTTGGAGAATCAATTCCAGCTTCCCCTCTTTCCCGGGTTTCAGTCGTCTACAGTGATTGTAACCGTAATCTTTTTTTCTTTTGTGCTCTGCAATCCGCGCTCTGGCTGAAATTTCTACTGCAATTAATCTGTCCGCGCTCTGGCTGAAATTTCTACTGCAATTAATTTGTCCGCGCTCTGGCTGAAATTTCTACTGCAATTAATCTGTCCGCGCTCTGGCTGAGATTTCTACTGCAATTAATCTGTTTAAACCATGAGGTGTTTCTCTGGTAAATTCGCCAATCTTCGTGAAAGCAATCTCCCTTTTCCTTTTCTCTTGGTGAGAAGTTACCGAAATTGATCTCTTTCTCAACCTTTTGAATATAGTATCTCGTTTTCCGACTTTCTGTTACTCTACTTGTGGATGTTGGCTTTGAATTAGGAGCCTGAAAACGTTCCTTGAAAGCGCTTCGAGTCTGTTATTCGGTTTGAATTTGCAGGAATTTCAGTTATTGAAGTAATTCTTTCGTGTTTGTCTCTCACGTTAATTTCCTTTCTCCTGGACAGCCGTTTCCAGTCTGTTGAAACTCATCAGCTCCTCTGTTTTGTCCATTTCTGTGGTAGTCTTGAAATTTGCTTCTCTTGTTGCATCCTTTGTAATTTGAAATTAATTGAATGAATAATCATTGATTTGCTGCTTATTATGAGGAGAGAAACAGAGCGGAATTTGATTCTGCGTTAATGAGTTGAGCATTTCAATTCTTCGAAATAAAACCAGTCTCCTTTTGTGGAAATTAATAATCAAACTTCAAAGATGATGCACGCGAAGTCCGACTCCGATGTTACGAGTTTAGCCCCTTCGTCGCCATCAAGGTCTCCGAAGAGGCCTGTTTACTATGTACAGAGCCCTTCGCGGGACTCTCACGATGGAGACAAGTCCTCTTCCATGCAAGCGACTCCCATTTACAACAGTCCAATGGAATCTCCCTCGCACCCGTCCTTCGGACGGCACTCGAGGGCTTCTTCTTCGAGTCGGTTCTCGGGGATGTTTAGATCTTCTTCTGGGCGGAAGGCAAACCGGAAAAGGAACGATAAGGGTTGGCCGGAGTGCAACGTGATCCAAGAAGAAGGATCTTACGATGATATTGATGGTGAAAAGGGTCTTTCTCGTCGTTGCCAAGTCTTGATAGCTCTCTTGGTCTTCGTTCTGTTGTTCACTGTGTTTTCTCTTATTATCTGGGGTGCCAGTCGGCCTTACAGAGCAAAGATTGTTGTGAAGGTATAACAAATTACTTAATTATTTATATGCCTTTATCTTTACTCGTTCAACTCAATCTTAATTATTTAATATTTATTATGTTAAGTTGTCATCATCTGCAATAGTGCCTCCAGTAAGCTTATCTAACTATGTTCTACTTCCAGTGTTTTAATTTTACTGGAGTTCAGAAAAATAAACAAATTCTTAGCAAGCAAAACGAGAAAACTTTGGTGAAAACAGAAAATTGTGGTTTCTTTTCAACCATGTTGCCAACTTTTCATCACCTTGCTTAGCATTCTCTTTTAAGGATTGATGATTGATCTCTTTCTTTAAGAAATCAACAAGAGAAAGAACCTAATATGATTGATGCTGGGCTTATTTGGGTAGAATATTTTCTACTTCAAATCCATATGAACTTTGGTCTTATACTGTGCTTTTTCATTAGCTTCTCTTTGTAAATTTGGCTTTCCTCTTTTTTGCTTTACCTCTGTTCATTATAACAATAGCAGGGAGTTGCTTTGAACAGTTGGGAATTAAGCATTTTTTTTATATTTTTATATGTAAATTTGTCTGGTTGGCTTGGCAATTTCCCAATATTATTTGGTCTTTTTCTTTTCTATAAACTCATGATTGATGTCAGAACAGTTGACTTAGTCCTGTTTGGATGGATACATGGATGTGTATCCGAAACTGGCCTTTGGTCTCTGTGACGTCATGTAACCCTTTTTATGGTAGTCTGGCTCCTTATGCAGTAGAATGCTCATATGGAGTTGGAACCAGTAGACTGGCTAAGTGCCTAAGCCAACTCAAGGTTTTGACAATAGGATTTCCAGCTTTACATTTGGCGTTTATTAGGTGCCTTGAGTTATAAAACACTTTGCTTCTTTCTCTGACTCTGCATTGATTTCCACAGGATTGTAAAGTTGAGTACATTTCTTTGACTTCAATATTGCATCCTTTTTATCCCTTTGTCCTCTATAATAGAATTCTTTGTACACAGATTACATCTTTCTATGTTTATTGCATTAACAAGACTTGTCATCACAGAGCATGGCTGTAAACAATTTCTATTCTGGTGAGGGATCAGACTCCACAGGTGTCCCGACCAAGTTGTTGACAATGAACTGTTCCTTGAAACTAAGCATATATAACCCTGCTACAATGTTTGGCATTCATGTTAGCTCTACACCTGTCAACCTCATCTTTTCAGAAATTACAGTTGCAACTGGCCAGGTAAGAACATTGTTCAACTTAATTAGTAACTAATAGATGTAAAATTGTCAAAATGATAGAAGAATATTCATTTAATTCAGAGGCAGAAGCGGAAGTGGTCACCCCAATTCCACAGGCCTCTTTGCTTTATTGGGTCAGATGTTGTAGGTTTATGCAGTATTTGGAAACTAGAAGATTTTAAGCACACAAAGTCGATACTTTTGTGTGTTTCCAAATTCCTTGGGATGGGGGTAGAAATGGAATTGAATTCTAATTCTGCCTATTTGAAACTGAAAAAGATGAAAAAGAAGGTCAATACCCAGTACAGGTCCTGGATATCAGGGCTCTTTGGACAAGATGAGTGAACACAGACCTTATTACTAGAGTTTTAGAATGAAGTAGCCCATCTCAGGTAATGGGTTGAAATCGCAATGGCTTCAATACGTTAAGGGAGTACTTATAAAAATGTCTGGGAGCTTGATTTGGTTCTTTGTAACTATAGAAGAAGCTTATTCTATTCTTTATCTCAATTAAGTTCTTGTGATGCTATTGAAGGATTACCCATAATCTATTAGGACAAATTTGATTACAGTTTAATAATATCTGCATTTCCAAATTGTCATTGCAGTTGAAGAAATACTATCAGCGTAGAAAAAGTCATCGTATTGTATCTGTGACACTGGAAGGAAATAAGGTTCCTCTATATGGGGCTGGAGCAAGCTTGGCAATCTCTGATAACAGCGGTGCAGTTCCGTTGACGTTGGAGTTGGAAATCCGAACACGGGGAGATGTGGTGGGGAAGCTGGTGAAGACAAAACACAGGAGGCATATCTCTTGCCCTGCAGTCATCGATCCTAGTAGCACCAAACCCATCAAGTTCAAAGAGTATTCATGTACATACGATTGAACTCAACTTCATCCCAGGATTGAGCTCATGACTTGATTGGATGATGGCATTGGCTTGAACCTTAAAATTGTTGATTATAGACAGTGACAGCGGTCCTGCTTCCCAAGGGGCGAAATTCTTCTACTCTAGGACGTTTCAGTTGTTTGACTGAGATGATGGTTGTAAGAGCTTCATGTATTAATGCCTTTATTGGAAGGTTTGTTCAATACTGGAAATGATAATAATGCAGTAAATTCTTCTTCTTCTTCCCTTTTCTGTATTTCTCTCCCTGAACAAACGAAATATAATAATCACAGAATTTGGTATCCATTCGCCCATAAATTAACAACGGATACAGCATTAAATAGAATGGAATGGTGAAACAGCCAGCATTCATATGGTCGACTCCATGTAGTTAAGTTGGAAAAAGCTTTGACGATGATTGTGATGATAATGAGAATTTTGGTAGCTCTTGTTTAAAATCTCTCACTTTTTTTTTTTATTTCTGTTGATTTTGAGCATTTGGAAGATAAAGATTTGGGCACATAGCATTGGCTGAATGGCTGTGTAACAGGTTGTGATGACATCCCACGCCCACCCATGATAAAATACATGGTCTACGGTGGGTGGGAGGTTGAATGGTTGTGGGCTCCACGTATTAAAAAGACTGGTGTGTGGATCATTATCGTTGATCCCACGGCCCGCTGAACAGAACAGCTATTGTGTTCAGCTAAGTCTGAATTCTAATCATCATTCCTGGAAAAGGCACACATAGCCTAATCATCATTCCACGAAAACACGCATATGGCTGACAACCGACTACTCATGATGGGTTGATATAATTATATATGGTAAATTGCATATTAATACTGTACTTTGAGTACTAAAGTGAGACTAACTCTAATTATAGAATACCAAATCTTTAATTTATACTAATTATTAAAATGTCTTATAAATATTTTATTAAAAAAATATAAATAGTTTCTTGTATAATTAGAAAAGGCTTCCATTATCACCATTAAAAGCGAATATAGGTGGGCCAGGCAAATTTGACCCCAACCCACTTGACCCACCTATACTCACCCAATTCAACAGTGGGTCAAGATGGATCGAATGACTCTCTTTAGGTAGGGGTGCAACTCGGGTAGGCCTAGCTCGAACCCGAGTTGGTCCAATCCGAAATTTTATATAGGCTGGGTTTGGATTTTCGGTCCTCAAGTTAGGCTCGGTCCTAGCCCTTAGGTAGTTTGAACTTAATCCGAGTATATATACATATATATACATACATGTTTGTATATGTAACATTTGTATATATATTTACATACATACATAAATATATGTATATATATTTGCATAAATACATTTATACAATTTTAGAGTGGGTTAATTGATCAACCCGAGCCCAGCCCGGGTCTGAGCGGCTGGGCCCAACCCGAGTGCATCAAATTATAGGACGGGCTGGGCTCAGATTGGGAAAATCGGGCTTGACCTCGGGCTCAGGCCTTAAGCCCAAATTTTAGGGACGGGCCTGGGTTGACTAAAAACCCGGCCCAACTGGGCTGACTTGCACCCTTATCTTTAGGGAAGTTAGGTTATTCTTTGAAACTCTCTCTCTCTCTCTCTCATTTCTCTGATCAACCATCTCTGTCTTTCACTCAAACCTTTTGGTTGTTGTAGTGTCTCTTCTTTCAGAAGCCTCACATATACAGAAGTAAACACCAGACTGACTCACTCTCTCTCTCTCTCACTTTGCTCAGATCTACCGTAGGTGGATGCTACACCGCCCCTTTCTCACTCAAATCGCCATAGCACCACCACTCTCCCTCTCTCTCACTTCATTTTCATATCTTCGGTATGTGGATGCTGTACCACCCCTCTGTCGTGCTCAGATCTTGAAGCTTGCCACCACACCACCACCACCCTCTCTCTCTATCGCTTAGATCTACTTTTGAAGGTTGTCATCGCACCATCGCTCTCCCTCTCTCCCTGACTCAAATCTCTGGTTTAAAGATTTGAAAGAATGAAGAGTTGAAGACTATGATAAGAAAATTTAGCAATTTTTTTTGTGTGTTTTGAAATGTAAATTCTTACAACTTGAAATGTAAATCCCATCAAGGGTGCTACAAATTTATGCGAAATTATTTTTATAAATTTTTCTTTGAAATATTTTTTGAAAATTTGCTTCAATATTCGGTGGGTGCAATGTCCATTTTTATTTGATTTTTTTTGAAAAATTTTATCATTTTATTAGTTTGTTTGCATTTTTTTACTTTTTTTGTTATAATATATAATTTTTGAATTTTATCATTTTATGTATTTTTGCAATTTCTACTTTTATCCCATCTTTATATTTATCTGATTTTTTGTCTTTTTCAATTTTCTTGTATTTTTTATTTTTTAGTGTTTTGCTATAATTTCCATTGTTTTTTATAATTTTTTTTTGCATTTTCTATTTTCTACAATCTATATATTTTCTGTGTTTTTTTGTTATTTATTTGCAATCTCTTTTGTTTTTTTATAATTTTTGGTGGCTTGTACAAATTTTATTTTCTATTTTTTTATTTTATGAAATTTCTATAGTTTATACAATTTAGGGTTTTTTTTTGTTTTTGAAATTTTTATTATGTTTGCAATTCTATACTTTTTGGTATTTTTTTTCCATTTCTTTGTTTTTATGTATTTTATATTTGAAAATATTTTTTGAACTTGTTTTCCTTTTTCTTGTTTTTTAGTTAAAACATATATGTGTATATTTTACATTTCCTGTAATTCTCTTCACATTTTTGCAATTTCTAAATTTTCTTACAACTCTCCTATATTTTTCTGCAATTTCAGTGTTTTTTTACACGATTTTTTTTTTACATATTTTGTATTTTTATAAAATTTGATTTTTTTTTATTTAAAAAAGTTGAAACCTTCTGTTTTTTAATTGAAATATATAGTTCTATATGTTTATGCAATAAAACATAGAAAATTAAAAGGTTAAGGTTTTGCTTTGAATTAGAGGATCAAATGGATGTGTTAGGATGGGTAAGTGTGAATGAACATGAAAGCTTAGGTTGTGAATGCAAAAAGCTTAGGTTGCATTTGGAAACAATGCAAATAAGTGTGAATGCAAATATGTAGTGTAAAATGGTCTATATAAATTGTAAAGTTGGGTTAGTTTTGCACTAACAAATTTATCTTATTACCAAAATGACTTTTAGTTGTAACGGATGTAAACATAAATTCCAATAAAGCATATGTCTTTTTTTATCAAGTATATGTTTGGCATTGGTGCTGCTAATGTATGGGTTGGAAGCACCATTTTATGAGAAAATGATGTCTTTTTTCTGTTTGAAAACATTGCTGCCAGGTAGGACATTTCCTGGAACAATAATAATACTTTCTGTTTGGTACCAGTGCTCCATGTCTGTTTTCAGCATTGGTACCCACTATAGGAAGTCCTCATCACTGTCACATCACACACTAATTGGCAGCAACGAGTTGCAATTTGAGAAAATGCCAAAATTGGTGTTGCTCCAAACCATGCCTTCTCGATTTCCAAGGCGTGGCTTGGAGCACAGTTTTTTTATGGAAAAAATGGTTCCAAACAAACAGGCGTTTCCTAGAGCAACGTTTTTTCCAACGTGACACTAAAGTATCACTATTTTTTGGAGAAACGACATTGATGCCAAACAGACACCAAAAGTCCACTTGGATGCAAATTTACTTCTTTTTTATTGATGTACTTTTACATCTTATTATCAATGTAAATTTGCACTAAAAAATGTATTTTCTGTCATTTATTGATCCATAAATGTAATATTGTCAAAAACAAGCAAAAGTGAAACTGAGTACAAATTTACCCGGAACTCGGCATTTGCATCGTTTCCAGATTACATCAAACGGGGAAAAAGAAGCCAATGCAGAAGAGGTAAAGGAAGCACGAATCTCAGAAACTGTCACCTTCGAGCAAAGCCAAAGCTTTCGCCATTTTCACCGAAGCACAAAGGCATTTTGACACCCTCCATGATCCTGGGTCAGGAGGTCAGAGAGCCAGGTAGCAAGGTTTTCATGCACTATCTCTCCTGTTCTAATGGCCAAATTATTAGCGAGATAAGTAGCTCTAACAAAACTGCACTTGAGCAACACATGAATTACGTACCGATTCTTCCTCCTCACCACATATAGGACACAAAGCCGGAATCTAAGCCCATTCTTAGCCCAAAAGATGATGAAGTGCAAGAGCGTTGGAGACAGCTCACCAGAGGAAATTTTTAAGCTTTGCGGGAGTTTGAATAAACCAAACTTTCTTCCAGCCTCGAGGCGGTATTTGAGGATAATTGTTATGCCTCAATGAAGGCTCAACATGAGAATTCACTTTAATTAAATTAGGGGTTTTTATAGTTCAGTCCACCCCTAGGGTGGAACTAAGATTTGTAGGGGTGGACCGAATCCTGACTGTGGATTGATGTTAAATTTATGAACAAAATGCAGTTTATAGGGAGGGTCTACTAATAGATTAAGAGAGGGCTTCAATTTTGATTAATTAATTATTTTAGATAATTAATAAATATATAAAATAAATATTTTATTGATATAAAATATATAAATTATTTATATAACTTAATTATTATATACAAATTGTATAAAATATTTATACATTATATAAGAATTAAATAATCGATCAAATTTAGATATTTATCGAATCGAATTAGGTTATATGCGAATTTGAATCCGATTAACTATTCAGTATGAGTAGGATACCCGAATTCGATTCAATTATGTCGGATATCGAATTTGAAATCGGATTTTCGAATACCGTTTACACCCTAGTCCCATCCACACCCCAATTTCTCATCCACGACAAAAACTCATGGTTAAGGCCCGTCCATAGTCTATTTTTGATCCCCTACTTTACACTCTCTCTGAAAAGGCTGAAACCCTATTGTTTGTTTCACATTTTAATATTTTTTTCAATAAAATAGTAATTATTTTACTTAGTTTTAAATTTTTAATGTTTTTATCAATAAAATAATATTTGTAAATATTTAAAATATATTTTTAAATATTTAAATTTTACTATTTTTTTATAAAAGATAATATTTATTGATTAATATTAATTCATTGATGCATTTTTCAATATATTTATCATATAAAAAACAACAATTAGATATTTATAGTTAACTATATCAGTCATTCATAAAATATATATGAGATACATGGAATCAAAAAGTATGGTGTGGATTGGTACACACCATGCCTACAGAATGTCACTAGTTGAAAATCGGACTGAGGTGTGGTGTAGACTGATTCACACCCTATCAATTTGTCATCCACACTGCAAAATACCCCCTAAATTATTTGGCATGAAATGCCTACTCTTGGTTGAGTGAGAATAGTACCAACTTTCCAACCTTGCACCTTAGCTTATATTTTGTTCACCATATCCACAAAAATTTTTGATTTCTTTATTCCAATAGAGCTTGAAAGTCCTAGATATTAGATATTTTGGATGCCCCTTGCTCTCCTTGATACCCAACCTCCTGGAAACTCACATCAGACTTATGCAAATTAATTAATTGCCTCGAAGCCTTAGAGTAATTTTGTAAAATCTTTTTAATATGGAGGGTGTTTCGAATATTAGCTCTCAGGAAAAGAAGACAATCATCCGCATAGAAAATAATAAGATCCAATACGCGACTATCTTTTCTATTTGAGACCCTTTCTCTCAGATTTTCGCTCTCTCTCTTCCTTCAATTCTACAAGAAGGTAGCCACTTTGATAAGGAGGGTAAAGGAATCAAATTTGAATCAAATAAGGTAATATCCGAATTTGAATTCGATTAAAAATTTCAATATTTAATTTGATTTAAATTTAAATGATCAATTATTTTAGGTAATTAATGTCTGTAAATACATGGATTATTTATATAATTTAATTATTATATATAATATTTATAAAAATTAAATAATTAATAGAATTCAAATATCTATCCAATTGAATATGATTATATCCGATGTTGATTTGATTATTTTAAATATTAAATTCAAAATGGAATTTTTGGGGTATGAACATTTCCATTAAACCCTCTTGATTTCCTTTCTAACTTTACAAGATTCGACCGTCTCATCCTTTCACATAACATCATCCATCAATCGCTCCAATAACTTATCTAAGAAATTTTGGACTATAGTCCTAACGGACTAGAAACTTGCACACACATACACAGCACACGCTATTCATGGATGTGCTATCAAATCGGCTTGAGCCGCCTGATCCGGACATCGGTGAAACCGGACCGGCCTAAATAGGCCCATAGTAGGAGAACCGGGTTGCACCGACTCGAATGCCAAGTGAAACCCTAAACCCTAGAAGAGATCTATAAATACCAGTCTATGATAGAATATAGATAACTCGTTCTCTTTGCTATGTCCCTCTTGAGCCATCGCCGTCTTGTTCTTCGGCGGTAGCACGGGAGTTCTCTCCGCACCAACGGGAGATCGTCGTTCTTCCGAGTTGCAGCTTTAGAGGAGGTCGCTTCGCCGATTCTCATTGGAAGCCTTGGAGTTGTTGAGAATTTACCATGCAATCCAGCGAAACCTCTTCCATGGAAGTCGAGAAGCTCCCACCCAAACCAAAGTTCGAACCATTGAAGGCTCATGAGATATCAGATGGACGAGTTCAATTTCGAAAGGTTTCTGTTCCCCCACATCGGTTCACACCGCTCAAGAAGGCATGGATGGAAATCTACACTCCAATCTATGAGCAGATGAAAATTGACATCCGCATGAATCTCAAGGCTCGAAAGGTTGAGTTGAAGACAAGATCAGACACGCCCGATATAAGCAACCTACAGAAATGTGCCGATTTCGTTCATGCCTTCATGCTCGGTTTTGAAGTCAATGATGCGCTTGCGTTACTGCGTGTGGACGAGCTCTATGTCGATTCTTTTGAGATCAAGGATGTCAAGACACTGCGTGGCGAACACTTGTCTCGTGCAATCGGTAGGTTATCTGGTAAAGGGGGTAAGACGAAGTTCACAATCGAGAATGCTACAACCACACGGATCGTGATTGCTGATACTAAGATTCACATACTGGGATCTTTCTCCAATATAAAGGTTGCCAGGGATTCTCTTTGTAGTCTTATTTTAGGGTCTCCAGCAGGTAAGGTCTATTCAAAACTTAGGGCAGTTTCTGCTCGACTGGCAGAGAGGTTTTGATGCTTCAATTATAAATTTTGTTCTCATTTTTGGCTTCTGTAATATTATTATATGAAAATTATTTGAGGTTTTTTCTCAATTCAAAATTTTGTTCTCGTTTGCTCGATTCCGCACATTAGGTTTGATGATTTAGACTTGATTTGTTAGTAGTAAAACATGGGGCGATGACGATAGTTTCAGTGAAAGGTCTCGTTCGTCGTAAGGGCGAATTCGCCTTGCCGACCATCCTGATATTCTGAGCCCCTCCTCTGAAAGAAAATATATTTTCCCCCTATTTTCTTGTCTATCTGTTCATACTTGTTTAAGTTTTTTCATGAAAATCGGTCGGCCGATGATTAAAAGATAATTGAAAGACAAGCATATGTCTGAAACAATGGGTGTTGACAGAAGTAATCTTTGTCTATGAGGCCACGGTTCCATCTCTTGTTTTCTGAGGTTTTTGTTTGATTATTGAAGTCTACGAAAGTATGAATCGTTGTTGTTTGTATTAAGTCCTAGCTGGAAGGTTCGATGATTATAAGTGTAATTTCTGAAATTACATATTAGCGAGTACAACAATTACGTAACTACAGCCTTCCTTCACAAACTGATGGTTTCTTAGTTGGATTTCTGATTCGTCGTAGCAGAGGACTGGTATTAAATATCTCTGCCACCAGGGGGTTAAGTTCAAGGGGATGGGGTCAAAGAAAAGCCTTCACTTCTGAAATATTTTCTTGTTTTTCTATTTGCAGAGAATGGAGACAAACGATAGAGAGAGTTGTGTGATGATGTCAAAGTGCATAGTTCAGATGATAAAACATTGATTAATATTTGAAAAGTCTTTCACTCCTACCCGATGACTCTCTCTCTCTCTCACTCTGTCGATAAAACCCATTACTGCTGCTAAGCCTTCTAAGTTCTAACCAGTTGCCAGTCTGTAGAGAAAAGAATGAAATTTGTCAATCTCTCTTTCCCTTTACCTCTAGAATGTAAGACTATTATTCCATATCTAGACGGACTGTAGCATTAACTAAGTTCTAACCAGTTGGTACTTGATTCTACTGAACAAGAGAGATACGTTTTTTGGTTGTTGAATTTGAGGGGTTGTTTGGAACCGGTGCTCTTTCTTCAATGCCACGGTACCGTAAATGTATGTCTGATTTTTTGTTTGTAAAGATTGTTGCCACATATGCGTTTTCAATACCACATCAGCATAATGTTTCTAGTACAAAAACAAGAAAATGTTAAACCAGTGTTGGGAACTAATACAAATTTCTTGAAAAAATGGTGCTACATCAGTTCTGTCTGAAGTCTGATTTTTCGACCCTTTTGGTTAAACGTTACCCCAATTTGGAAGCCGAGTGTCACGAGACAGGTGTTGTATGACAAAATGTTCCTTTGGGTGTTTTCTTAGTGCTATCAACAATTCGTCTTGCAGGCTTGCAGCAACTAGCAATGGTTCTACACAAATGCATCACTGCAGTCTAAAAAACATCTCAGTAAATGGTTTTACCAATGCAGTAGTACCATTTTTCTCATAAAAACACCTCTCAAGAAAGCAGACTTTAGATTTGGTGCTGATGTGATGTTATATTTATGAATAAAATGGCATTGGTTGCAAACACGTAGTGAGCAAAGTGATGGTCGAAGTAGCATATGTGGGGTATTTTGATAATAACCACTTGCAACTGTACCAAGCAAAATGTTTCGGGAGAGGTGCTCCTTTATACAAACTCTCTAATCTCTATGGTCTTGTTATGATTTTTTTCTCTTCACAAAGAAGGCTGCGTCCTAGCTATGAGAAAAGGAAGTTTTCATTAGAGTGCTGCCTGGTGCTAATACTGTGATTTGAGATTTACACGCTAAATAAGCCAAAATGTGAGCTGCCTGATTGTTGTCCCTTCAGACTCTTGATTGAATATCCTTGTTATCTTGATTATCTTTCTGCAAAAAGATTTGAATCACTGAGCATGCTACTCCAAACCAACTACCAATGGTTTTAATCCTGCATCGTATGGACAGATGGTCCAGCAACGATTTTCAAGAGGTGTAAAACTGTACATGTGCGGGCTGTGTCGTGTTGCCCGGTATAACTTGGGGGGTTGTTAACTATGGTTTTACACTCCAAGCCTGTGTGAATCTGTACTGTGTTATGTCACGTGTTGGGTTGGATTAGGCTGTGCCGTGGATCGGGTTAAAGTAATTTAAAAAAATTTAAAATTTTAATTTTATATAATTTTTGATGTATACAAGTGCTTATATATATTAATTAAATAAATTAGTATAAATTGGATTGGGTTGTGGGCTGAGCTGTGCCCTGCTTGGTTGAGCCGTGCTGGCCTGGCCTGTGGAGCTAAAACCTTAGGCCCAGCATGGCTCACACGATTGTGTTGGGCTTGGCATGGCCCACGTGCCATTGTGTTGGGCTGTGCTCTGCCATGGGTGGCACGGTCCGATTTACACCCACGTTTTCCTTCACAAATAATTTGGTGACTGGCATTTGAAAATTCGGAAGGGGTACTTTGAGTTCAGTTCTCCGATTCCTAATGCGTTTGTACAGTTTGGGTGGTGGGGAATGATTACCTTATTCAGAGGGTGATTGAACGCTACGGAGGTCTTATTTGAAAGCAAAAGTGTTTCTTACTAGTTGGAGTTCAGATTTGCCTTTCACGGTGCGTGCTTCACACCACCTTTACGGGGAACATCTCTTTAATTATAATTTTTATTCATTGGATATCTCAAGCTCTTCTCTTGTGGTAGAATTTCAAGCTCTCTCTATGGATTCAAGTTGGCCATGTCGCTTGGTCTCCAAAAAATCATCTTAGAAGGAAATTCTATGAACCCATCTAGTGTCTGTTAGAGGAATCTTCCCTCTCACCATGACACACATTATGAACTGCAGTCAGTTTCTCCTCTGCTTTGATTCAGTCTTGGTTTATCATGTCAAGAGGAACTTTAACCGTGTTGCTCATAAGTTCACTAAAATTGGTGTCAATGGACATTACTTTTGAGTGGTTGACACTCCCTCTTGAACCCTAGTCATTTGTTTTAAAAATTAAGAAGCTTATCATTCATCCACCATACGTAAATGCATTAAAAATTGTAAAATCTTTTATATATATTTATATGGCCCATAGTATATATATTTTTATGCCACATCATCATAGTTCGACCTTGGTCGAATCTCTGACCCGTGAACCTCTATCCCTTCTTTGGTTCTATGCCTGGTCTGGTTCTCTGAACGTTGATGTTAACACGCTATAAATCATACTTACTGACAAATGGAGATATCAATAATATGAAAATGGATGAGTATGGATGTTAACCTTGATTTGCCAATCCCTAATCTAATAAGTGAGTGTTTTTCAGTATAATGTGGTAATTACGTTGGCTTCATGTCTAGGCTACCAAGGTTTTTTCTTTTTTTAAGAAAAAAAAAGTTAAATAAATTGATTCCTGCATCCAATCCAATCCTATAATCCAAATGTTATTGGATTAATGTTAATAATGGAGTTCAACCTCTTTTTGTCTTTATCTAGTATTTACAAAGAGTAGGAAGTGTTGTCAATTTCTTGTGTTTTATGTCTAAAAGGTTAAGTTACATAACATAAATAAAACAGTTTTGGTTAAAATCACGTATTTTATCAACATATAAAAAATTTACTATTTTATTTTTATTTTTATTAAAATTATATTATAAAAAAGGAAGTACAAAATTATTATTATCATCAATAATTTTATATATTAGGTATAATCAGGCATAATTGGGGTCAGAACTGATTGATAATTCTTGAGACTGGTAGACCTTGTCTCCAACCAAATCCAACCCATTGATAGATCTAGCTGAGGATGTCGATGGGTCAAGTTTTGTATGAGTTTGCTTCAGACCTAATCCGATCGTCCAACGTTCCCAACCGAATTGACCCAACATCATGGAAATCCCAAGCCCACCTCTGCTCTATAGGGTTCAACCCAACACCAACTCAACCTTATCCACACCCGTTTTAAGTGCTTTTTATAACACATTTTAGAAACCTAAATGCCATTCTTGGGAGTTTGAATTTGGGTTAAGGGTTCCAACGCATCACTTATACAAAGAAAAGTAAAGAAAAAAAACCAGAATCAACGTGAAAAGAAATGATAAACCATTATGTAGTTAGAAGTCAGAGAAAATTACTTGTATAGATACCGGGCAGGTCAGCCAAAACCCTAGATTGTCCCTATAGGGTCGGGTCAAACCGGATTTACTGTTCAACCCGACCCATTGACATGAAAATTGAGTCCGAATCATCTACGGTTCTATTCGTAATACTGGGCCAATCGGGACTCACAACGTCAGTACTCTACACGTGGCAAGTGGCAATTTGGAGGACTTATTTGGACCAGTTAGCTGCCACGTACACCGTATGAGCACAGACTTTCTTTTGGAATGTTAACTGCCACGAATTGTTAAGCATGGAAACGTGACATCAAATAGTCAAAATTTCCATGGAGACAAAAAATCTCATAATTATCAATCTATGAAATGGCGGAATTGAAGCAAATTGTACTACATGCCCGGCCAATCCGTGCAAAAGGGACTACCTTTCTCTTTCCTGCGTTTTATTTTGACTCTGTCGGAGCTCATTTGTACTTGGATGATGTTGGCTCCTGCTTCAGTTTCTGCTTGATCTGCTCAGCAGACCACTCCTCTCCTTTTCTCATCTCACCATAGCCACCTTTTTTAATGTCTTAATCAGATCTTATTCAATTCCTGAAGTTCCGAATAAGAAGTTCGACAATCCTTCTAACCCATTACGCCTTTACTCCAAAACGAAACTCGTTTGGTTGAGCTTCTTCCAGACCCAGAGATCTCGTTAGCATTTTGGGGTGCTTATTGCCACAATGTTTAGAGCAAAACCCTTTTCCAGATTCATCTGCTTTTCTGTTACTCTTTTGCTTTTATTACGTTGCTTCGTCTCTGCCGCGGCTTCTGATACTATTGTGGATGATGAAGATGATTTGAAAGGTTATGAAGAGCTATTAGCGTTGGATGAAGAAGAAGAACGGGAAGGTCCTCAAGTGAGATCATCTGAGGCTGGGGCTGAGGTTCTTAGCAAGGCTCAGAGAATTGTTCTTGAGCTCAACAATGATAACACTAAGCGTGTTATCGATGATAACGAGTTTGTTCTGCTTCTGGGTTATGCTCCTTGGTGCCCTAGAAGTGCGGAGCTGATGCCCCAATTCGCAGAGGCGGCAACGACTCTCAAGGAGATGGGTAGTCCTCTATTGTTGGCGAAGCTTGATGCGGAGAGCTACCCAAAAGCGGCATCCCTTCTTGGGATCAGGGGCTTTCCCACCCTGCTTCTCTTTGTCAATGGGTCCTCACAGGTGTACACTGGTGGATTTTCTGCGTAAGATTCCTTCTTTGTCAAATTATGCTTTTGTTCTAATTGCAGCAGTAGATTGTAACTGAGTTTTGTTCGTTTTTTGTGCCAATTTTTAACCAGGGAGGATATAGTGATCTGGGCAAGGAAAAAAACAGGGGCGCCTGTTATTAGACTTTCTTCAGTGACTGAAGCAGAGAAATTCCTTGAGAATAACACCATGTTTGTTATTGGTCTGTTTGAAAGATTTGAGGTATGTGAAATGTGGGCTTCTTGTAGAAGTACACAAACACATTCGAACACATATATACGTGCAGAAGAGCCTGTATTTTTAGTTGAGAAATCAGTTAGGTAACCAACAATTTAGATTATTTTCAGGGACCTGATTATGAAGAATTCGTGAAAGCAGCAAATGCTGACAATGAAACCCAGTTTGCTGAAGCTTGCGGTATTGAGGTTGCTAAGGTTCTTTTTCCAGACATTAAGCCTAAAAATCTTTTCCTTGGTCTGGTCAAAAGTGAGCCTGAGAAATATACTACATTTGGTATGTTAGTGATTTTATAACAGTAGCTCCAACATTGTTCATCTTATTTTCCAGATGTTGCAAGTAAACTAGGGAGTTTTAGATGTTATTTGCTAGTTTGATAAGGTGACAGTAGGCACAAATTTGTTTTCTTTGACTGTCTCTAAAATCAAATCTTGTATTCAACTTGATCACTGGACAACAATATCAAGTTATTTAAGGTTTTCATATTTGGTTCATCTTATTATCAAATTGTATGAATATCATTTTTTTTTATTATAAACGGTAGGGGCTACACAAGTAAACACGTTATTTGTATGAAACTATGAATATCTTTTTTCAATCATAATTATAACCACTTAAGAATAGTTGTTTTTGTAAATGTAGAGTTAGCAACACTTCAGGATTCCTAATGTTTAACCATGTCTTTGGCTGTGCAGAAGACACTTTTGTAAAGGAGAAAATATTGCAATTTTTGGAAAATAACAAATTTCCATTGGTTACTATGCTGACTGAACTTAATTCTGTGAAAGTCTACTCCAGCTCTATCAAACTCCAGGTTCCTCTTACTCTTAATCTTGCTTTTGACTTTACACCTTATCTTGGTTCCTTAGACTAGTCTAATGTTAGGTTTCATGCTTATTGAACAGTAGAGATCCTTTTGCTTTTCATTATTGTATGGGACATTTTTTTTTTTGTTTTTATGATTCCTTTTTTCCTCTTCTGATTATGTAACGTGAGTTGTTTAAAAATTAGACAAGTTGCAGTTATCATTCTGAGCAGAGAGTTAGCAATGTTGTCGCTACCGTGAACATGGTTTCAGCCCATAGTAAATCATGTTATTCATTTATATGATTTATGTGCCAGTTTCCCTTCAGTGTCTTGAGGCCCAAAGTGAGCTAGGATTGTTGTGGATTTCTAGAAATCAGATTGCTTGGATCTAGAAGTTACAAGTAAACCCATGTTTGATGTGGAACAACAAACTTAGTTGTCTGTGACTGAACTTTTGGATAGAACTTGTAACATGAGAGAGGCCTTAAAGCAGAAATCCTCTAGAAGTAAATGAACTTTGAAGTATAAAATGAGGGTCTTGAATGGATTTAGAAATTGAGAAGTTTGAAGGAAAAATGGTTTAAGGCTAAGGTAGTCATGTTGGCTAAGAAAAGCGGAAATAACAAAGCAAAAGTAGAAGATTTCAGATTCTAATGAAATGACAAAATTACTATACCACTACTATATTCAACTAAGGAATCAGTTCTCTTAGATGAGATTATTGTACTATATATCCAAACAATTTTTTATCCCCAATGAAATCACTTGCAGAATTCCTTGGACTTCCCATATTCATCAACAACAAAAAAAAAAAAAAAAAAAAAAAACAGAAAAGAAAAGAATAAGTTATAAGACTTTTTTTGTGACATTTTGCAGGTCTGTTATTCCTTTCACTGGCTAAGCCACTTTTACTAAATTACAAATTAAAAATGTTGAAATTGAAATATTGGTATGAGATAAATCTTGTAATGCCCTTCCGATATTTTCTAGGTATACATCTTTGCTGAGGCTAATGACTTGAAGAACTTCCTTCTGCTTCTTCAAGATGTTGCGAGAAAGTTCAAATCAAAGGTGCTCATCTTGACAGAAATCAGAAAGCATTTTATTTGTTCCTCACCATGTGGTAGCCTTTACTGAAATTGTTAAATTTTCTTTTGGCTGCAGATAATGTTTGTATGTGTAGACATTGCAGAGGGTAACCTTGCAAAACCCTTTTTAACATTATTTGGGCTTGAAGAATCGGAACAAACTGTTGTAAGTCTTCCTGACAAGCATCTTAATTCTTTTATATGCAAGTTTCAGTTGTTAATAACTACCATTGAAGCAACTAACTGATGTGAATTATTTCTTACTTGTGGCTGAATAGGTGACTGCTTTTGATTACAGAATTAACTCAAAGTACCTTTTAGAGTCAGATTTGACACCAAGCAATTTGGAGGTAAATTTCTTGTGCCATATATGAATATGAAATGTTGTTCAAGGAAACTAAACTGTTTTTTGGATTGGCTGTTGCAGGAGTTCTGTTCAGGGCTTCTAAGTGGTACTCTGTCACCTTACTTCAAATCACAGCCCATGCCAAATAATGTAAGTAACTGGTTTATTTATTTTCTCTAGTTTTGGTAACATGAGTGCCTGAAAGGCTGTCTTAGGGAATCCCACAACCTCGCTCTGATATCCTTGTTATGTGCGATCAATTCATGTTTAAAAAGAATACAACTCATCTGTGAGGCTCAGTTGGGTTAATAATCTTGGGTTGGATCCAGTTGTTAAAACATAGTTATTATTAATGTCTTATGCTTGATGAGATGTTGAAAGTATCTTGTTAAATCCTTCTTGGTAGCTACGTGAAATTAACCTTGATATAATGGGGGAAGGGAAACCACAGCAGCCCTTTTTTTGTTTCGTCTCTCTCTCTCTCTCTGATGAATTTTCATTTCTGCTTTTGCTTAAAATTGCAACTGGCTTTGCCTGCTTTTCCCCTTAACACCCCTCTACACCTCACCCCAGTGTGACCAAATCATTAGAGTTGACAGTCTGTTTTCTGACTGAGACATCAATTTTCAAATGTATTTGTGATGTTGAAAATGAAAGTTGTGGTTTTTGTGCAATTGCAGAAAGGGGAAACCATCCAAACCATTGTAGGGAGGACTTTTGATGACCTAGTTTTGAGCAGTCTCCAGCATGTTCTTCTTGAGGTTAGTACTTAGTATATTATACCGAAAGATCTGTTCATGAACTTTCTTATTGATTGTTTAAAATATTATTTAACTATTTTTGTCACATTGAAGGTTCATACACCATGGTGCATCAAATGTAAGACCACAAGCAAGCAAATTGAGAAGCTGGCTAAGCATTTCAGGAGATTCGATAATCTAATTTTTGGAAGGATAGATGCTTCTTCAAATGAACATCCAAAATTACAGGTATGCATTCCAATTGTTTAGGTAAACATATAGACTGATATATCAGAAAACAGTGTTGCATGAGCACAGACACAGGAATCAGAATCTGATGCATGTCCAAGAGTTTGACATGGCAAGACAAGAAAACATGGACTTGCAGACACGCCCAGAAATACTCACTTTGTACATTAAAAGGAATTATTATGTGGAAATGTCTCTCAAGAATCTGTGGAGTATTGGAATCTGACATAGCATGCAATACTGTCAGAAAGGCAAAAAAGTTAAAAAGTTTATAATGATTGCAAGATTGATGTTGAGACTCCAAACCCTCTTCATGTCAACATGCCAAGACTTAAGTATCCAAAAACTGAACAAGAAATCTTTTGACAGTTCAGTCAGCATGAGGATAAACTTCTAATGCTGGGTTTAAAAGTTGAAAATAAAATAAACTTTGGGAGTGATGCAACAGGGCATGAGTGTTATGCTTCCAAGTGGGTACAGGGTGTCTGTCATACACAACAAGCTTCCAGAATCTAGAAATAGGAACATTTGCATAAATATGCATATTCATACACAAAAATGGTGGGTTGCAAAAGTAAATTGGACAAGGCATGTCTTTATGTATACATTAGATGTAAATAAAGATACATCCACATATAATCTTTGTTGGGTTCTATGACGTTCCCAACCATCTCAGCTGTCTCTTCCATTTTGTTTTTTAGATCTTTGGGTAACAAACTTTGTCTCTTGGTTTCCTATACTATAAGTTAAAAATATCAAAACATTTTTTTAACATAAAAAGTTTACACAGTCCAATCTTGTGTTCATCCACCTATATGTTGGTTGTTCTGGTATTGTTTTGAGATTGCTGTGAATTCATCAATGCATTTATTTGTCTGCTTCAAGCAAGGGTTAAAATATTGATGCACCCGATGCCAAAGTTGGGTTGTGTGTATGATACCAACAATACTCTCTCTCTCTCTATCTATATATATATTATATATATTATATATATATATTTCTTTTTTTATTTTATGAGCATTAAGGTGGGAAGGATTATCCCAAAGTTTAAACTTATTTCTATGTGTACCCATGCATATCTGGGTGCACTGTATTGATATTTTGATCCTTGGCTTCAAGTGGCATCTTAGAATCAAGGTTCAAAATAATGATATGCCCGATACACCGGTAGGGGCGTATCGGGCGATATCGATACTGTTCTTTAAACTTTTTTTTAATTTTTTTTTTGAAACCAGTTCAGGGGGCCGGTTTAAGGCTCCTCCACCCCCTGAACCAGTCAGAACCCTGATACACCCACTGTAGGGGCGTATCGGGGAGGTCCCGGAATGATAACGTATTGGCCGATATGGGCTGATACGTGTTGATACTTTGAACCTTGCTTGGAATACAGGTGCACTTTGTAGCTGTCTATGGTTCTTGACAAATGTGCCTTTTTAGGGAAAGATGATCATTTCTCAGGAACTGCTGATGAGGAAAATGACTGACATTGTTTTAATACAGAGACAAGGGTAACTGTAATACCCATAATAAGCATTTTGATGATTGGATCGTGTTTTTGTTGGTTTTGCAGATAACCGATTACCCAACTCTACTGTTTTACCCATCTGGGGACAAGTTAAATCCGGTAATTATGTCGTGACAGCCATATCTTCCTTTCTTTTTAATCTGCATAAGCGTCTAAGGTGCCTTCGTTTTGCAGATCAAACAGGCGACCAAGTCAAGCTTAAAGGAACTGGCTGCATTCATCAATAAAAATGTAAAAGGAACTGAGGATAGACGACAACCATCTGAAGAGGAGGCAACCAAAGACGAATTATAGGAATAGGATAATACAATGTGAGAACATTCCACCTCTAAAACATCTAAAAAGTCATATAGGAATGGGTTTTAGTTGAGAGAAGCTCAGAAAAAATGTCATTATTTTTCAAGTGTTAATATTTTATGACCTCTTACCCATTTCATTCTTACAGAGACATGGTTGAGAGGGACAAGCAATATTTTCTCCAATAAGAGCAATATTTATTATAGCTTCACATATTTTTCTTGGGTAGATAAAAAACAAAGCTATAAAATTTGGTGTCAATGATACCATTAAGTGAACTGGTTAAATATGGCTCGATGATCATTGATGGACATATATGCATCATTTGATAGTTTGGGACTACGGACATCAATATAGGTAGATTATCAGTGCAATCAAAAGTCATAACCCTATCAAACCTTGTATGTCTGGCCTGGACTAAGATTTGATGGAGAACTTCCTAAGAAAATTCTGTTCAATGGCTATGTGCACAAGTAACTTGGGCTGGTTGAGCCACGATTAGGGCAAATATGGACTGAGTCAAGCAACCAAATAAGCTCGATTTGGGTAACTTCAATCTCAACAGGGTTTCTCTTGAGCATTCCTCAATAAACAAGATACTTCAGGTTGAGTGGGATGCAACAGTTACTTGCAAAGTTGCAATTTGCCTGTGGTCATGTGCACAGTCAAAAAGATGTTTACTATTGTACATATACATGTGAGTGAGAGAATCAGTAACAATACAAGGAGAGTCGATGTCTAGGAATAAATAGAAGCCTTTGCTTAAACAATGACATACATCAATGAAGATACAAGGATTGTCCAAATCATGATAACAGGAAGGTCTTGGAAGAAGTCTGTTTCAAAAAGATGGCTTCTTTGCTTCAACTTTCACCTTCCCAATTTATAACATAGCTATACAAGGCAAAAAAATAGTAGTCCCTACCTCCAAACTGAAGAACACAGCACCAATTGTCTAGAAAATCCACTGCTACACTCTGTATGTATCTAAGGTGAGTTCTGATTTAGTGCAGGACCAGTTTCCTGCTTGTCAGCGCACCCTCGCTCAAGAACTGTGCTTCCAACCCTTGTCAACGGCCAATATCTAAATACTGATCTTCCTATAATGTTTTTGGTGGGAAGAGGTCCCCTAAATAAAGGATGGTTCAATTAAATCAAGGGAAAATGCATACAAAAGAAATTTCGGGATCAAGAAAGCTTGCAAGCTTGAAATTAAGATAGTTAGAATTTATTACCATATATGTGAATCATAGCTATTATTGCGGTTGTCACCCATTACAAAGACGAAATTTTCAGGTATCCGCTGCAGCATAACAAAAACATGGCAATTGTAAGTCAGTAATGTTTTTGCAGAACTTTAGACCTTGTTGTACCTATTTTATTTTGTAGAGGAACATAAAGATCTGGAAGAAGTTCAACATGATAAAGAATTTGAAAGGCAATTTGCAGACTAGATACACGAAATAAATGCAGTATAAGAGTCACACAATTGGAGTCATCTCATATGAAGGTGGCTCAAGAATAAACTCTTCGTTCCTCATGACCCCATTTACTAATAGTTTTCCATCATGAACCTGCAAGAGAAAAATTAGATCTGATTAGTTTGCAACTTGATCTTCTTACCAAAGCTAAAATGCCTTTGCTAAGTGGAGAATCCTTGTTCCATAAATTCACAAGTATTGAAATCGTGTGCCATGCTGGGCAATCATAGACAAAGTGAAAAGAAGATGCATCATTTCCTCGGTGAATTATTGGATATAACATCTAGGCTTTGTTCCATTGGACAACAAAGTTGGGTTAGAAAAATAAATATTAGAAATTTAGAATATGGTAAAAGGAAAATAAAATGCTGTGGGGCTCACAAGACTTGAAAGAAGATTAATCCTATCTATTAGAAAATCTAATTTCCTAGGGGTGCAACTTGGGCAGGCTTGGGTTGGGATTTTGTCAAGTTAAAAATCCAATGAGCCTGGCCTGAAAGCCCGGGCCTGATGCACTGTAAAATCTTCAAATCGGGTACCCAACTTGCATCCTTATAATTTCCTGAGTAAATTAGTGAGACACACAAATCATGGCATTGCAAATTGACAAGCTAGAAAACTTTGGTTCATCAGGAAATTCTATTTCTAGAACAAAGAATTTCTATGCATCCAAATTCCTGAAAAGACGAATGTGACCTTTTGCTAACAAAACAATTCTTATTATAGGTAACAAAAAGAGTTGAACATAATAACACAAATACCATGTAAGAAATCATATATACATGGCCACAAAGCACTGATATAAGAAGGTTGTGTAAGTAACTGTTGCTAGGACTATGAAGGTTGTAAGTAAATAACTTTTACTGCTTCATCAGACTGCAAATAGAGGTAAACAAACCAAATAACAAAATTGATATTAGAAAATTAATTATGTGATCAGAAAACCAAGAGAGGAAAGAAAAGCAACTTAAAACTAGGTGTTTTATAGTTTTTTTTTTTTTTTTTTGATAAATGGGGTGTTTTATAGCTATTGTCTGCATAATTTATTTCCTTATTACACAAAACTTGAAAATGGAACACAGTAAAATACAGAACCGTTTGATTCTGGGGGAAATACCACAATGAATGTAATTCTTTTACTTATACATTATGAATTGAATTCCCTTAAGCCAGCTACAACAAATTTTATTCAGGCCATATTGCAAATATATATCGAAAGGAAAAGCTGATGAAGGTTACTGTCTACTTGTTCATAGAAATGCTTTTATCTGGTAAATTCACCTCCACAACATCGCCTTCCTTGGCAACAACTCGTTTAATAAAAACATCCTGATCTGTGTAACCAACTTCCTGTGGAACAAAAAAATTACTGATAATATATTGGATTTACACCAAAGAGTTCTTGATCACTTTTAAATCACTGTGCTTACCTGTAATACTGGTGGGCTTTTGAAAATTACTACATCATTTGCACAAGGCTTTCTGAAATAGTAGGATACCTAACAATGTCCAAATAAAATATTAGTTAAAGATGACTTATTCAATTTTCATAACCTATAAGATGTAAGAGTAGATACCAATTTATCTTCCTTTGTATTAGTTATACTATGGTCTATACAAACTAATGCTATACTTCTGGCATAAAGAAGGCAGAACCCATGTGCTAGATGCATTGTTAACTTTGTCTGTCTTTTCTTGTATAATCCTCCTATTGCGTATTGAATTCTTTTCATAACTAATGAAAAGAAAGTTATAGGGCTGATGTTAAATACTGTCTTCACTTACATACTCATACTAGATTCAAATGAAGGAATAAAATGGGGCACGGAGAAGTCTTTTTGTGCAAGCAAGGTGGTTTTTTTTTTCTTGCTTACTAGCAACCAAAATTTTAAAAGAAACTGCTGCTAAAGAAAAATATCACAAGAAAGTTAATTTGCAGAGGTAATCAGCCATTCTGAATTGCAAATGCACCTTAGTTATACTTGGAATTAAGATTACCTTCACTTGGAATCTTTATCCCCAGCCTAAGCTCACCTTTTTTAACCTTGCCCTATCCTTTTGGAGCAAGGTTAGCTTAGGCTGGGGATATTTTGAGAAAAAATATCCTTTTGGAGTATTCAATTTCTTTGAATCAGCCTTTCTCATTAGCATCATGATTGCTCGTCATTACACAAATGAAAAACATTTCAATAAACTTTCTCTTATGCAAAAAAACCAACAGGGTTACCGGTAAGTTCACCCTCACAAGGTCCCTCAGATGAAAATTTTACTAATTTTTTCCTTCCAAATCTTTCTTACCCATCCACTTCAAAATGCTAATCTAGCCATGCTATTTTTCTGACTGCATCCTGTTCTGTAAATCATGCTTGTATTGTATCTCTTTTTTTTTTTTTTTTCTCTTAACCTCATTGGTCTGCACAAATCACCCAGCATTCCAGAAGCAGGTCTCCTATCAGCAAATAACACATTATTCCAAGTGTCAAGTGTTACATCTACACATCCATTTTTGCATTTCCCAATAAATGTTACTGTGTACTTTAAAGAAAGAAATCGAGACTCCAGTTCCATATTCACCACAACCAGGCGGAGAAGAAGCGAAAGAACTCAAGCTTATCACCAGAGAAAACAATCAATTAATCAAAAGGAAACGCAATTACCTTTTCGGCAACAATTCGGTCTCCGACGTTGAACGTCGGGTACATGGACAAGGACGGAATGTATCGAGGCTCGGCAATGAAAGACCGGAAAGCAAGGGAGACAGCAAATGCTGCAATAACAGTTTTTGCATCGTCTGATGTCAAATTCAGCCATTCGGGTAACAACCCACTCTTACTTTCAGCCTGACTATCATCGTCGCCACCTTCTCCATCCCCGCTCCCATCGCCGCCGCCGCCACCGCCGCTCTCCAAGTCCAAAACTGGTTTTGTGGCCTCGTCACTAGACTCTTTAATTCCATTGCATCTGAGACTCTTCGAGCGGGTTTCTGGATAAAAGCGCTTAAACCCTATAGAAATAGAGGTTTTCAAGAAAGAATCAAGTTGGGTCTGCTTAAGATATCGATTTCTTGTTACAGGAGCGAATCCGGCGAAAGCGAAGTTAGGGGTTTTAGGGGAAGGGAGGAATTGAGTGGAATCGAGGTAAGGGTTTATGAGAGAAGAAGTAGGAGGGAAGAACTGCAGGGATGTCATCTCTTCTTCTCCGCCTTCCCTCCAAATATCATTATTATATGTACTGTGCAGAGATAAAAGCTGTTATATGAAATTGTTGGAAAAGCTATGATGCCGGAAAGGTATGATAACCGTAAGAAACTGTAATTAAGTAGCCTATGTTTGGTTTGAAAGAAAAGGTAGGAAAATAAAGGAAAAAACAAAAAAAATTAATACAAAATTTGTAAAGGTTTACTTACTTTTTCCCTTCCTCTCCCTACATTTTCCTTCAAATAAAAAATATGCAGGTTGAAAATTAGGTCCAGCCCACTTTGAAAGGGCCTTCATTCTGGGGCTTTGGACATGCGCAATGCAGTTTTCCTGGCCCATATTGGGAAGTGCTTACAAAAAAAGTGTTTATTGGGTAACTGCTTACTTGACTCTTTCACTCTTTCGTGAGAAGTGCTTTTCTTTCCCAGATTGGGTAGTAGCATAAAGTGCTTAAAAATAACCACTTTCTTAGGTGTTTATTCAAAATGGACTTATTTTCATGAATAAGCCCTTATTGGGGCTGACTCAAATGACAATAAGTGTTTATTGTTGTGGACTCTGCCTCAAATAAGTGCTTAGATGTCCAAGCTTTTTGAGCTATTGGCTCACAGCCATTTATGTCACTCTCTGTTTGGCTGTCTGGGCTTTTTGGGAATGCTGAGCTGATCATTCAGCTGCTTTGAGATTCTGCAGATAAGCTATCTAAAACGGCTGAGCCAATAACCCAAAAAATGAATAATTGATAGAGTCAATTTAGAGTTTCGACTTCTCCTGTCTTTTCACCAAAACACAGCTTAAAGGATGTCCATGTCCATGTAGGGCGGATCTCAGAAGGCGAGAACCTGTTGCGTTTCAGCCCTCCCACACAGACAGCTTGTAAGCTACGTTTGCTGAAAAATTCAAAGAGCCCAAATTGGCTGTTAATCAATCATTGGAACTTGGAAGAGCTGTCTGCTTCAGCATCTTAGAATAGCTTATTTGGAGCACTACTTCACAAAGCAGCTGAATCCTTCACTCTCCAATTTGTATGTTAAGACAAGTCAAGATGATTCAAAATTCATTAAGTCTCCATTTGGAAAAAATACAAATATAAGTATATAGAGTGCAAAATCTTATATTTGTATGATTTTTTATGTATTTGGACTGTACATATATATTTGCATTTGTAAGTACCACCCACGTATGAGATTTACAGACACAGATCATGTTTGGAACGTAGGATTGCGACCCAAACTTGTGATCAAACAAAAAAATAGGTTAATACCAACAATATTCCAACATGACCTATATCTGCAAATCTCACCATAAGACTGGAACTCACCATATATGATATGTATAGACACGGATCATGTTGAAATGTTTTTTTGTTGGGTGTAAATCCGAACTCATGAAGAGCTAGGATCACCTACCCATGATGACACTACCCACATAGGATCGCGGTCACACATGGGAAACATCTCATGCTCTTATATATTATTATGCATGGGGAGATGTTCGCAATCCACGGATGTAATGTTTTGTGGGTAGAGATTTTGTGGATAGGAGATCTAGATTCTCGCTTGATGGTACAGATGCACATCCATCTGGCTGGTTTAATAAGAGACACAGACCAGCCAATTAGGCTCTGTTTGGATAAATTTATGCTTTTGAACTTTGAACCGTGAGAAACAAAAATGAGCCAAAATTGATTTTGAGTGTTGGATAAGAATTGTTTTTAAAAACACAATAATCTAAAGTCAAAATACTTTTAAAGCTCCAAAGCATGCAAAACATTAGGGTTTTGACAAAAAAGAAAATAGTAATACTATTTTATACTCTAAAGTATAAAGCAAAATATTAAGGTTTTGACCATGGTTCAAAGTATTGATACACCTCTATGTATTGGTACTTTGATCGGCACACGTTGTATCTCTTTATATTAAAAGGGTTTTGTAAAAACACTTTTGAATAGATGTATCGGGGCTCAAAGATATGACACGATAGGGCATATCACATTGATCCTTTGAACTTTGGTTTTGATGAATAAGAAATTAATAATACCATTTTATACCCAGATCTGTTTGCAGCCCTGCAAATGGAAAATACAACTTGAGAAAAACCAAATAGTAATTTATACGTTATTGAATTTGGAAGCCAAAGAAGAAGAAGAAGAAGACTACTTTCAACATTGGAGTAAAGCAAACTTAAAACCATTTTGGGAACCTAAATTGAGCAAAAGGCAATTTCTTGAATAGGAATAGCAACGGGACAAGGACCATACTCATCCTCGACCCCAATCCCCGCTAGGGATAAAAACAACCCTCCATTCGAGGAATCCATTTGGGGATTCAAATCCCTAATATTTTTAAATTAAAATTATTTTTAGAAAATAAATTTACAATTTTTTTAAATATAAAAATATTTTAATTTATATAATATAAATAATACAAATAATCTAATATAATCAAGGCTAGGATGGGGTAGAGAATTCACTCTTGTCCCAAGAACACAATCTAGGGTTGGGAAAGCTGCATGGGTATCCAACGGGAACGAGAAAAATTGCCATCCCTCTTCATTCACGGATTCAAACATCAAGAATTATTAACAAAAATGATGGCCTAGGTATTTGATGTGATGAGCGTAACGTGCAGAAAAAAAAAAAAAATCAACAGCGTTCTCAATCAAATCCACCAAGACCAAGAGCTGATACTCGTATACACCAATTTACCAAGTCATGAAACGAGAGCTCCATACCAGTATTTTTAAATGGACCCAACAAGATCCGAGAATGTGGGACTGTAAGTCCGATCCAGAGGTGCAAATCTCCCTGAGATCAGGCCAGGATTTGGGTTATCTGGAATCACGTACCATTTGGATCTCCACTGGATTTGGCTGCGTCAGTTCCAGATCCGACCTGTTTGATGCCCCATTATCTTACTTAATAATACTTGCATCGATCTCACATTAATCTCTCACTCACTTGCATTTATGATTGATTTTGAACAAAATGATTGATCCCAAAGCCCAAGTAATCAAACCACCAATCCGTTTGACCTGTACAACGGTTTTTTATTATTTTTTATTCTGTTCGAACCAAATGATTGAATCACAAAGCAGTTTCGGTTTCGGGTTGATCCTTAAAGCATTGATCGAAGATATTCTATATAAATTAATTAAGGACAATCTGTCTTGTATACAAATTATTCATTCATCACTTGATGATCTAAAGTTCTGAATACACTTGATTCTCCAACCCTTAAGTATATAATCAAAGGCGCCAAACATGTATGTTAAGCTTTATACACAGATTCTCTCGAACCCCATTTACTCGTGTCTCTTCATCTTTCCAACCATGCGTTCTAAACCATCTCCACCTGTTGGGTTTAATAAACAGTCGTCAGTACCATAAAGAAACCCATTAATTTATGAAATTGAAGCAAAAATATAATAGCCTAAATTTGGTAAAGAAAAGGATCCAATTAATTAGAGGGGCTGTTTGGCATCATTACCGTTTGTTGGAGTAACGGTATCAATTCAGCATCGCATCAGAAAAAAAAGGTGCTTTAAGAAAGAGCATTTATTTGGAATCGTTTTTCCATAATTAATCTCTAAGCCACGCCTCAATGTTTGTTACTTAAAGAAATGAAATTTTAGAAAAAAAAAAAAGCTAAAATATTTTTTCTTTAAACAAATTAAGAGTTCTGTAACAAATAAATAGAGTAAAAGCAAAGAGAAATTACAGTAAAGATGTTCCCAGAAACGATAGTGATGCTCACCTATTGAAACCGCACTAACAAAGATGGTAGACGAGAGAATGAAGACGATAATGGACGCCCTTCCAAACAAATCGATCGCCTTTCTCACCACATGTTGCCCTACAACGGCAGCAAATGTTGCCACTGCCGTCAAGTAAAGAGCTGCATGCCGGCCGGAAAATTGAAGTAAGTAATCAGGTGTTCATTCAGAAAACTATATACAATCAACAGATAGCTGAAATATTGAAATGCATGGCTCAACTAAACTTTCCAGAAAACAGTGGGATGGGAGGGATTAATATGGGTGCCGTGTGGGTTCATTTACCATATGGGATTGGAAAACGCTTCAGAAGGTAATATTCTACGACGGACATGGATGAAGAGAATACAATACCATGGCGAAGGTGGCCGTGGCACTTGAAACCTACACATCCGAACAACTTCTCCGGCATCAAGTTCAGGTTCAGTCGGAAGAATCAAACCATGCAAAGTTTATTAATTGGGTGGTTGCAAGAATTTGGGGCGGGCGAGAGATCATCATACCTGGGGAGGGACGCCCATTTCCAAGAAGAGAGGACCGAGAATAAAGCCTCCGCCTAGGCCGAGAAGGCCACCAACTATGCCAGCCAGCACACCGCAGCAGCAGTAGAGAATCAGCTTGTGCACCTTCCAGCCTTTTGTCCCTCTGTCTCCCTTGGATGAGATCATTCTCCGTCCTTTGTATAGGCTTATTGCCTCGTACAAACTTACACTAACAGTAACTGGAATCTGCAGAGATACGGGATTGATAGAAAGTTTAATTTCAAGTTTCTTAATTGCCTCAGGGTTCTTTTCTTTTCTTTTCCTTTTTTGATTTTTGGAATTCTTAACTTGAAGATCATTTTGATTAAGGTTTTGCAAAAGCCTACTAGATTATTAGCTTAACTGGACAATTCAGAAATTAAATCTGTTACTAATATTAATGGCTGAGTAGAAAGTAGTAAGAACTACCGGGAATCATATACAATTGTATATAGAGATTTTGCTTGAACTAACTAAAATCTTTCACCTTCCTAAATTTCTAAGTTTTGACCAAGGGGACCTAGATATTGAGTAATCACATCACATAGGTGATAGAATAGGCCAAACATCATAGTCTAGCGCTCAATACTAGCTAGATCGTTTAATTAATTTCCTCTCTGGAAAACAAAAGGTCAATAGCTTCATCTTTCTCCCATTGTTAATGCGATCTCTCCAAAATCATGGGTTCAGCACTGAATTATTGGATATATACAACATTTTTTATAATAGATAAAATAAAGGGAA